TCTTACATGTATGGCTCAGAAACAATTAAATTTTTTTTTTTGGTTCTCTACTTTATATATCTCGATTCGGAAGTGTTAAAAAGCGCTTGTTGTCGTGTAGTTTTTGTATTTAGTTAGATGTTGTTTTTTACATACGTTAGGGGTAAATTTATGCGTTGAAAACGTTTGTAACTTTATGATCGTGTTTGAAAAGTTTCTTTGCAATCTGCAAAAGTCTTTAGTCAAGCGTCGTTTGCCTTCATTTGGGGATGTTTTAGAAGTGATGTAACGTGTATTTTTTTTCATATTTGTCCGTATAAGGCTCAAAAGTGCACTAATTATATATTTGTAGGCGGTGCTGTATCCACTTCGAACTTTGAGAATTTTTTTCGCTCAACTGTTTGCCAGTCGATTCAGTCTTACAAATGGTAAGCGGTATCTGCTTCATGAATAATACATAAACTTTTATTACTAAGACAGATGTTAGCAGTTGTTGTATTATAAAAATGAGAGAGTGTCAATTGATCTCCAGAAAACTTTGTTTTTGTTTTTATTTCTCAGTTGTTTTCTGCTATCACGAGTGTGAGATGCTGTTTGCGTCATTATTATAAGAGGCTTGTAGATAACAGTATTAGAAGTTATTTGATTTTTATTTAGATTATTACAATACTTTCCGTTTTAATTTTGTTTGTTGTTGTTTCTGTTTGGAAACCCCAGGGAGTGACAGAAATTATTGTTATTCAGTGTGAGTGGTATAACAGAACTGGTCAAGTAGTATAAGGTTTTTGAATTTCGAAGTGGATGGTTTATATGGCGGGTTGGTTTTGCAAAATGACCACATCGGTCATTTTGTAGCTGAAATAACTAACTTTCTTGGTCAATTTTATTTATAAGGATAGTCTGTGACGTCTTACTTACAGTGTGCATGTTTTTTAAGAAGTCTTAATTTGCTTTATTATGACTAATCTTGAAGTTTAGGCATGTTTATTTGTTAGTGTGCTGTGAGATGAATTTTTGATTTGTACTCCTAACTCTTTTATTGACTGAGAAGACAAGATGATTTCATGTTTACGTAGGGTTAAGCAATCAATATCCTCCCTGTCAATTCATTTTTTAACTGCATGTTTTATTAATTGCATGCCTTTGAAATTACATGAAAACGCTTTGTAGTCGACTTCGGGTGTTGCTGTGAACCCAGAAGTGCAGAGGACATTCCAACGCTTGTCAGAAGGCAAGAAGGAGCTTCGGTATATTATTTTTAAAATTGAGGTAAGCTATCTTCGTTACTTACAGGTTTACATCTCTCTTTATTGTTGTTTCTCACTGGCTCTCTATTTTTTTCGTTTAAATGATGGTATTTTTTGTCCTAAAAGACTTAAATAAGTACAGGAACTGTCGAAATTTATTTACAGCTTTTTTTCTTAGAGAATTAGGGATCTAAAAGGTAATAAGTTCTTTTGGGGGAATCGCTGGACAAACTTATATGTTTTTCTTTGCTGTTTGCACGTTTTTTGTACGAAAGCGGTTCACTGCTAAGTTACGCTTTTTTTTTTTGAACCAGTTGTTTTCTTCTACCTTTTTCTAAAGTGAGTTTTATTTTTATTAAATTATATCTTTGACTCTATTATGCTTACCTTACTTTTTTATTTATTTCTTATTTCATTCTTGATTTCGGTAATTAACAAAATTTTCTGTTGTAGGGTTTAGTATTTTTTTCTTTACTATGCAATATTTTGTTAAAATGGGAGTTAAACTTGAGCGTTAAAGGTTGCTGTGGTTTTAAGATTTTTTGCATGTTTTTTTTCTTTCGTGCATATTATTGATGGGGAAACGAAAGTATTGATTTTTACTTCTTGTCTTCAGGAACGAGAAGTCGTTGTAGAGTCAGCGGTCCGTCAAGAGGAGTTGGAATTAACCGTGGATGATTATGAAGATAATTCAAAATCAGCTTTCGGTCTCTTTATTGCAGACTTAAGAGAACGTACAGAAGGTTTCAAAGATTGCAGATATGCTGTCTTTGATTTCAAATTCACCTGTTCACGTGTCGGAGCGGGCACATCAAAGATGGATAAAATTGTATTCATCCAATTGTAAGCTTTTCTGTTAGCTTTTTTTTTATGGATGAAAATGCTTATTATTCAAAGAAATACGCATGTATTTAGACACTGTAGTGCTTCTACTGTTTGTTATATTTTATGGAGGTTTTTTTAACTTTTAGGATATATTTGTCTTCTGGAGTGCTTTTGATAAGATTCTTTTTTGACGTAATTTTTTTCAATTAGTTGCTCTAGTTAGTTCGTTAACTTCGTGGGTCTGTTGGTAGGCGGCTAAAGGGCACGTGAGAACTTTGGCATTCCATATTTAGCTTTTCTTTAGAATGAAGTCGTTTGGTCATGAGGGAGTTCTTGGATTTACTTTGTGCCCTTTCTGCAGTAGTTGCATTCAATTCTCTTTATTTTAGGACTGAATATGTGGTTTCATTATTTTTAAAGAGTTTACGAGGTTTGAAATATTATAAAAATTGTAAAATCACATATTTACACAAGACTTATAGGAGCCATATATGGCGGTTTGGTATTTTGATGCACGGTTGTGCGTGAAATTAGTTTGATGGGTCATCTGGTCATCTTGCTTAATTCCAAACAGAAGTTTTTATTTTATTTTTCTGGGATTCCAATGCGTAAGTCATAAAGTTCGCAACATAATTTTATGGGATTGCATAGTTAGCTTCATGGGTGTAACAACTGAGAAGTGTTTTTGTCGCTGGCTTGCGATTTACACCGGCTATTCTAAATATAAGTTTTTAATTTATAGAAAATAAATTCGCTTTGTCGACGAGTAATACTGATTGATTTTTGAATGATAATGAAAGTTTTTTGAGACTTCTTTAGATAAGACTAGCGACTTGCTTGCATCTTTTTTCTTCTGTGTTGATTAAATCAGTAGAATTAGTTTTATATTTATTTAACTTCTGGTATTTTGATGGATGGTTTTGCAAAAAATTTATACAAGTGTAGCATTTCTTTTTCATTGCCATGAAAATTTTAAATCTTTATTATTTGTACTCTTTTTTTTTCTTTTAGGGCAGTGATCTTTTTGAAGGAGGCTTGTTGTAGTTTTTAATTGAAGAGATGCGAGAAATTTGTTTTTTTTAGATGTATAGAAGTACTTTTCTTGTTATAATGTAAAGCAGCTTTATTAATATTTATGCACATTTGGATCTAAGGGTTGACATGGTCTTTTTAGTCGCACTTAACAAAATGTCAAGAGTTCGTAAACAATGCAGTTTGATGCATGTGAATGGCTAATTTACTTTTCAGATTGAAATTGGCTGATTTTGACTCATAGTTAAGGGATTTTTCATTGTTTTTGATTTCAGGTGTCCTGATGGCGCTTCAATCAAGAAAAAAATGGTTTACGCTTCATCGGCTTCTGCAATTAAGGCTTCCCTTGGAACGGAAAAAATCTTGCAATTCCAGGTCATAATCTTCACAATTCTGGTCTATCTTCAGAAATACAAGACTTAGTTTGTTTCAATGCTTCAATTCTTTCATTTAATGAAGGCAGTAGCAGTGAGATTTATCAAAACGTTTTAGTTTCAATAGCTTTGCAGTGTCCAAACTTGATTTTCAGGTATTTAAATTTTACTGAAATTTCGAAAAAGAACTGATGGAAAAACTTCTCTAAAGTCTTGCGAGACAAATGGACTTTGATTTCTCTTGGTATCTTAATATCTTTTTCAGGTTTCTGATGAATCTGAAATGTCGCATAAAGAACTGCTCGCAAAACTGACCGATAAGTACGGAGATAATTAAGAGTTTTCTGTTTGAGTTAGTAGAAAAGTTATGCATCGATTGTAACACATCGTAATGCTCACGATTAACTAACTCTCTTTTGTCAAAACAGTCTGAATCCTTTCAGTTTTTAATTATTTATCAATATTTGTTTTTCCTCTCCCTCTATGACTTGCACAGTGATTCGAGTGCATCGTTGTGAATGTTTTATGCCCTTTTGGCTCACATTGTCGGGTGTTTCTACCTAAAATCCGAGTGCTTTTTTTGTTTTCGTGTGTTGTGTTCCAATTAACAATTTTTCTTTAATTTTTGCTTGCCGTTTGTGCTTGAATGATGGCGTTTTATATTTCATTATGTACCAGTTTGTTCAAGTTGTTTATTAATTGAGTAAATGGTTGTTTTTGAAGATAACACCTGCGATGTTTTACTTATAAAAGAGGTCGGGGGTTTGAAAACAGAAGAGATTTTATATTATTGTTGTGCCTGGCTAGGATTTCATTTGATAATTTTTAGCTGGATTTCTAACCTCATAGTTCTAGATTTTCTTACGGAAGGGTGATTTGAGCTGGAGACGATTGGATTTACCACTTTTGTCTCGTGGCTCTTAGGCGTGGAGTCCTTGTACAAGTCAGCCACTCAATACAAACGTGTAAGGTCTATTGTTGCATGAGTAGAATGAGGTGGGGCGGGGTCATTTGCATTTTGTATTTTGGGGTCAAGTGTACGGATACGGTGAACTTGTGTTGTGAAGATTTTAGGGAATAGAAATCTTATTGTACACTGTAGAGCAGTAAGTTACTATTGGTATTCGCTGGTCTGGGTGGTGGGATGTTAGGAGAATGGCAGGTATCATCCTGCAGCTGCAGTAGTCTAGGTATTAGCCTTGATTATGGGAGATCTGTTTTACTGCTCGGGTTCGTACCCAGTGTTTATATGCTTTAACCCTTGTACAGCCCTCGTTTACAGTGAGTATCTAGTTAGTTCTTCATGAAGGTCATTCTGTGCTGGTCATTTAATGAAACCCCTGGGTTTTCCTGGTCTCATCTACGATAATATGAAATTTTTGCCCTGCCAAGAAGTCATTTTGACTGAAAGGGTGTACTGCAAAATGTATTACGTCAACTTGGCCCTGAAGTTCCATCGACCTCACAAACAGTCATGACTACTTGATACACTAATACTTTGTCGTTTGCATTTGAAGTTCTAAATGCCGTTACTAAAACGACCTGAACAGTTACTGAGGCTTAAAAAAATTCGACTACTAAAGAAAGGTCGACCGTAGGGAAGTGCTTATGAACGATTACCCTGCCTTTGGTAATCCATTTTTCCTGGCAGGTTGGTAATCAAACAGTAATGATAACTTGATCTAATTTAGGCATCTGGTGTTAAGATCGATTCATCGTGTAAGCAGGCCTATGATGATTTACATAACAGGCATTTGCACTCGTTTATAATATTTCGGATTTCCGATGACGATACAACTATAATAGTGGACAAAGTTGGACCAAAAGGCGCACCGTACTCAGAATTCGTTGAAGTATTTTTTTAAGACTATTGAAAATCCAAGTCAGCTTCATTCGTGCAATTTTTTCTACCAACTTTTTAAAATGAAAATTTAAGGAGATTCGAAAAAGTGTGGGTAACGGGAAAGAATGTCGCTATGCCGCCGTAGATGTTGAAGTTCAAGTGCAGCGCCAGGGTACTGACGCTGCGTCAAGGCTTTCTAAAGTTGTCTTCATTCAGTAGTAAGTTTGGTTCCCGTGGTATTAAAATTCTGACCGCAGTATAATTTTTGAGGGAGCCCTGTCTGTTAGTTTTCATCTCTTGTCAGCAAGTGTTTCTTATTTGTATCCTTACTACGAGATGTTTCCCTAAACCAGTTAAAACCAGATAGAATAATATAAGATAAACGACGGAACTGTGAATGTTATGATTTGAAATGAATTTTAATCACTTCACTTAACGGTCTTCCAAATCTTTTTTTCCCTATGGTTTGGGATAATTTAGTTGCCCTGACGATGCACCAGTACGCAGACGTATGCTTTACGCATCTTCGGTTCGGGCGTTGAAAGCAACGTTGGGTCTCGAAAGCTTAATGCAGGTTCAAGCCAGCGACTTTTCTGATATCGACGAGAAGGCAATCAAACACGAGCTGATGAGCCATCAACGCACCTAATTTCGCAATGGATCGTTTTCTACCGGTCAAAATGTGCCTACTACATTGTCTTTTATACGGTCCCCGTCTATATGAAATTTCTTCTTCTAACACTTGTTCTGTTTGTATTTTTCTCTGAGTCTAATGATCACCGTTGCCTTTTTACGGTCAGCTTGTAATCACTTTTCTATGCTGAGTGAAGTTGCCTTATTTGTGTCAAATGCTGCCAAATACTTTCTAATTTATCTGTCAAAGAATTTATACATCGTTTGCTCAGATAAATTTGTAATCAGCAGTTGGCAAAGAGCAGTACAGGAATGTGTTTGTTCTCCAACAATTCCAGCTTTATAGTTTCTGCAAACATTTTGTACCATTCAGTTTCACCATATCTTCAGCAGCATGCTTAAACGGTTAACAAGTTTAAAAAGCTCAAAAACTTTACCTCCCTGTTATCAGTTAACTCATGCAAATGATTTTGTTGAGCAGGCTTAAATAATTTCAGGTAGTTAGGCATAATCCATTGTAAGTTAACCTGACACATAAAAATTCACTGGTTGGAATATGATTCATCTCAATGGTGTAAACATAAAGATTTTCATATATCTCATTCTCGAAAGTCTTACCGGATCAAAAATACGATATAATTACATTATCAGTTCCTTTTCTCAATTTTCTTGAACGTTTTTGAAAGGAGTTTATTCCGCTTATTTTGGAGTACACACTTTAGAAGGACATCACGAAGCTATCTGTACAGATAAAATTGTAAATTAACACAAGGAGGAAAGACTTCCAGTGAATTACATACACATTTTGGTGGATCATCTATTTCAATGAGAGCGCTATGACGTTACTATAATTTATTGAACGGTGGTATATACGCTTAACTGTACGTGCCAAAGAATTTGAAAAATAGTATTTCTTGATTTTGTAATTAGTAAGAAGGAATTTAAAAATTTTAAAACGAAAATATGTAGTTGGTTCCTGTTGGGAACCTCAAACCTGCATGTACTTAGGAAGCCTTCGTAGCGTAGGTTGACCACAGAATACGTATACACATTGTTACGTGTTTGGAAATTGACCATTAATTAAGCCAGTGCACATATAAAAGGTAAAACGCCTTTACCTGAAAAAAATTTTAAATTTTATGACGAAGAAGAGAATTTACTTTACCATTAATAACTTCTTGCACATAAGCTGCATAAAGTAACAAATATGACTGTAACCGAAAAACCTAAGAGGAATGTGGAAGTTACAGGATAGACAAAATTGAAACGAGAAACATAATTTACACTTACTACCGTACACTAAAACGCCATTTCCGTAGGATGACCCTCAGGGGTTTTGTGAGTTGCGGCCTGTAACAGGGTTGGTTTGGGTGTCTTCGCCTGAGAAATTTTTTAGAAGTTGGGTAATGAGCTTACTGGTTCGAGTTTGATGAAGGCAAACCAAATTGCTAAAAATGCATTTTTTTTTTTT